TAAAGACTTAATACTCTCTTAGTCAAATATATTAATCTAAGATTTCTTTTTTATTTCTCATTTTATTTCTCAATTTAATAGCCGTAGATTGTTCATCTTAATAAAGGACTTTACAGGCATAGATCCACAGGTAAATGTGAACGTATCTATAAATATCACCGTAAACTGTTCATTTTAATGTTCATCTTTTAAATCTTTCTTTTACTACTGTTTTATATTAATTCAGTATTTTTAACATGAATAAATTAAATTTTACTTTATTAATTATCACACGGGTTCAAGTCCCTTATAAACGGGAAAAAGTCTATATGTTGATATAAATATTTTTATATACGGAAATAAGTTACAATAATTTTTTTAAACTAGAATAAGTTACAAATATTTTTATAAACGAAAAAAATTCAATTTATTATTCAATTATTATTATAAATCGGAATAAATTACAAATATTTTTTTATAAATAGACACACGATTTCAATGCGCTTTCTATGTTTGTAACTATATAAATGTTAATTAACTGAATAAATATATACAAATTTGATAAATGAGAGTGAGAGACGTATAATGTGAATTCAGACGGTAACCGTATGATAGCACGAGTTTCTTACTATTTAATGTTGTTAATTTCATATTAATTTCTAATGCACCGGTTTTCTAAACATCGTTTTTAAAAACTTTTCATTGCTATTTTCAGAATATACTATTTTAAATTATTCTATTTTTTTCTTATATATAATTAATGTTTTTTACTAATTCTAAATTATGACACTTAAATTACATTTTTGCTAACTCTATAGTTTTCTTCTATTAATTGTTTCTTATTCAATTCTTATATTATATAATTTAACAATAAAGACTTAATACTCTCTTAGTCAAATATATTAATCTAAGATTTCTTTTTTATTTCTCATTTTATTTCTCAATTTAATAGCCGTAGATTGTTCATCTTAATAAAGGACTTTACAGGCATAGATCCACAGGTAAATGTGAACGTATCTATAAATATCACCGTAAACTGTTCATGTTAATGTTCATCTTTTAAATCTTTCTTTTGCTACTGTTTTATATTAATTCAGTATTTTTAACATGAATAAATTAAATTTTACTTTATAAATTATCACACGGGTTCAAGTCCCTTATAAACGGGAAAAAGTCTATATGTTGATATAAATATTTTTATATACGGAAATAAGTTACAATAATTTTTTTAAACTAGAATAAGTTACAAATATTTTTATAAACGAAAAAAATTCAATTTATTATTCAATTATTATTATAAATCGGAATAAATTACAAATATTTTTTTATAAATAGACACACGAGTTCAATGCGCTTTCTATATTTGTAACTATATAAATGTTAATTAACTGAATAAATATATACAAATTTGATAAATGAGAGTGAGAGACGTATAATGTGAATTCAGACAGTAACCGTATGATAGCACGAGTTTCTTACTATTTAATATTGTTAATTTCATATTAATTTCTAATGCATCGGTTTTCTAAACGTCGTTTTTAAAGACTTTTCATTGCTATTTTCAGAATATACTATTTCAAATTATTCTATTTTTTTCTTATATATAATTAATGTTTTTTACTAATTCTAAATTATGACACTTAAATTACATTTTTGCTAACTCTATAGTTTTCTTCTATTAATTGTTTCTTATTCAATTCTTATATTATATAATTTAACAATAAAGACTTAATACTCTCTTAGTCAAATATATTAATCTAAGATTTCTTTTTTATTTCTCATTTTATTTCTCAATTTAATAGTCGTAGATTGTTCATCTTAACAAAGGACTTTACAGGCATAGATCCACAGGTAAATGTGAACGTATCTATAAATATCATCGTAAACTGTTCATTTTAATATTCATCTTTTAAATCTTTCTTTTGCTACTGTTTTATATTGATTCAGTATTTTTAACATGAATAAATTAAATTTTACTTTATAAATTATCACACGGGTTCAAGTCCCTTATAAACGGGAAAAAGTCTATATGTTGATATAAATATTTTTATATACGGAAATAAGTTACAATAATTTTTTTAAACTAGAATAAGTTACAAATATTTTTATAAACGAAAAAAATTCAATTTATTATTCAATTATTATTATAAATCGGAATAAATTACAAATATTTTTTTATAAATAGACACACGACTTCAATGCGCTTTCTATGTTTGTAACTATATAAATGTTAATTAACTGAATAAATATATACAAATTTGATAAATGAGAGTGAGAGACGTATAATGTGAGTTCAGACGGTAACCGTATGATAGCACGAGTTTCTTACTATTTAATGTTGTTAATTTCATATTAATTTCTAATGCATCGGTTTTCTAAACGTCGTTTTTAAAGACTTTTCATTGCTATTTTCAGAATATACTATTTCAAATTATTCTATTTTTTTCTTATATATAATTAATGTTTTTTACTAATTCTAAATTATGACACTTAAATTACATTTTTGCTAACTCTATAGTTTTCTTCTATTAATTGTTTCTTATTCAATTCTTATATTATATAATTTAACAATAAAGACTTAATACTCTCTTAGTCAAATATATTAATCTAAGATTTCTTTTTTATTTTTCATTTTATTTCTCAATTTAATAGCCGTAGATTGTTCATCTTAATAAAGGACTTTACAGGCATAGATCCACAGGTAAATGTGAACGTATCTATAAATATCATCGTAAACTGTTCATTTTAATGTTCATCTTTTAAATCTTTCTTTTGCTACTGTTTTATATTAATTCAGTATTGTTAACATGAATAAATTAAATTTTACTTTATAAATTATCACACGGGTTCAAGTCCCTTATAAACGGGAAAAAGTCTATATGTTGATATAAATATTTTTATATACGGAAATAAGTTACAATAATTTTTTTAAACTAGAATAAGTTACAAATATTTTTATAAACGAAAAAAATTCAATTTATTATTCAATTATTATTATAAATCGGAATAAATTACAAATATTTTTTTATAAATAGACACACGACTTCAATGCGCTTTCTATGTTTGTAACTATATAAATGTTAATTAACTGAATAAATATATACAAATTTGATAAATGAGAGTGAGAGACGTATAATGTGAATTGAGACGGTAACCGTATGATAGCACGAGTTTCTTACTATTTAATGTTGTTAATTTCATATTAATTTCTAATGCACCGGTTTTCTAAACATCGTTTTTAAAAACTTTTCATTGCTATTTTCAGAATATACTATTTTAAATTATTCTATTTTTTTCTTATATATAATTAATGTTTTTTACTAATTCTAAATTATGACACTTAAATTACATTTTTGCTAACTCTATAGTTTTCTTCTATTAATTGTTTCTTATTCAATTCTTATATTATATAATTTAACAATAAAGACTTAATACTCTCTTAGTCAAATATATTAATCTAAGATTTCTTTTTTATTTCTCATTTTATTTCTCAATTTAATAGCCGTAGATTGTTCATCTTAATAAAGGACTTTACAGGCATAGATCCACAGGTAAATGTGAACGTATCTATAAATATCACCGTAAACTGTTCATGTTAATGTTCATCTTTTAAATCTTTCTTTTGCTACTGTTTTATATTAATTCAGTATTTTTAACATGAATAAATTAAATTTTACTTTATTAATTATCACACGGGTTCAAGTCCCTTATAAACGGGAAAAAGTCTATATGTTGATATAAATATTTTTATATACGGAAATAAGTTACAATAATTTTTTTAAACTAGAATAAGTTACAAATATTTTTATAAACGAAAAAAATTCAATTTATTATTCAATTATTATTATAAATCGGAATAAATTACAAATATTTTTTTATAAATAGACACACGAGTTCAATGCGCTTTCTATGTTTGTAACTATATAAATGTTAATTAACTGAATAAATATATACAAATTTGATAAATGAGAGTGAGAGACGTATAATGTGAATTCAGACGGTAACCGTATGATAGCACGAGTTTCTTACTATTTAATGTTGTTAATTTCATATTAATTTCTAATGCACCGGTTTTCTAAACGTCGTTTTTAAAGACTTTTCATTGCTATTTTCAGAATATACTATTTCAAATTATTCTATTTTTTTCTTATATATAATTAATGTTTTTTACTAATTCTAAATTATGACACTTAAATTACATTTTTGCTAACTCTATAGTTTTCTTCTATTAATTGTTTCTTATTCAATTCTTATATTATATAATTTAACAATAAAGACTTAATACTCTCTTAGTCAAATATATTAATCTAAGATTTCTTTTTTATTTCTCATTTTATTTCTCAATTTAATAGCCGTAGATTGTTCATCTTAATGAAGGACTTTACAGGCATAGATCCACAGGTAAATGTGAACGTATCTATAAATATCAACCGTAAACTGTTCATTTTAATGTTCATCTTTTAAATCTTTCTTTTGCTACTGTTTTATATTAATTCAGTATAGAATTCATTTTTGACTAAATTGTAGAATCTTTTTAATAAAATCAAATTAACATTAAAGATTTAATACTCTTTTGGTCAAATATATTAATATAAGAGTTCTTTTTATTTCTTAATTTAAAAGTTGATGCATATTATTAGTCTATATTTGTAACTATGTGAATGTTAATCAACTAAAAAATATATTCAAACTTGACAAATGAGATTTGACAACGTATAATGTGAATTTAGACGGAACCCGTGCGATAGCACGGATATCTTAGAGCATAAATATCATTGTTTTTTTTAAGAAGTATATAATTTTTCCTATTTGTTCATGCAGACGTGATTTGTTGATAGGACCGACGCTTGCTACAAATATGGAGTTAAATGCCAACATGGTTTACATGAGACATATACTCAACTGAAAACATGGTAACATACTTAATAATTTAATAATCTATAAATGTAATGTGAATCCAGACGAGACCCGTGCGATATCACGAATTTGTTACTAGTTACATATAAACTTATTCACTCTAATTAATTACTACATTTACCACCCGGTCCTCCAAATTGAATAGAATATCCATTACTTCTTTTTCTATCTTCATAGTTCGTAACACCATAACAATTAGGTGCATCATTGTCTATTCCTACCATAAATGGTAGAGGATCAAAATGTTTTTGAATTTTATTCAAAAATTTCAAAAACCTAAAATAAGATTCATGAGTGAAGTCACCATCAGGTTTTGTCCGGAACCCATTGTAGGACTATTAGTACCCGCAGGAGTTACAGTATATCCACCAAATCCCACTTGATCAGCTCCGTTGAATGAGGAGAATAAAGCTGCAGGAAAGTATCCAACATCCTTATTTAACACTTTTAACCACCAATTGCCTCCTTTATCCTGAACACCACAATATTTTAAGACTTTACTATTACAATTGTAATAACTCAAAATTGTATGATTAAATTAAAAGAATATAATATCATTTTAAATGTATATATTTGATAATATTATATAACCGCTTGCTAACATTAGAATTTGAAAAATATTTTTATAACGTTACATAATTTAAATATTTTAAATTTAAATTTTACGTAAATAGATGATTTTACCTGTGCAATTTGAAGTGGCATTTCCATTATGGTTCCGCCAAAAGTAGATGTTACAGATATACGTGCACCAAAAGTGTATGATCTATCAACTTGAATGAAACCTTTGCATAACATATTAACGCATCAATTTTTACCTGACTGTAGTTTTTTAAAACCGCGTTATATTTTAATAAACAAGTATTTTGATTTTCTAACTAAATAACATAAAAATTGAGATTAATAAAATATAAAAAAATATTAAAAATAATAATAAAATTATTCATAACAATTTATGTCACTTATATAAAATAATTTATATACTATTAATCATTGAATATTAAATAATATATAAATATTTACTTACCATCCAAAACAAGTATAAATGTGTTTGGTTGTCATTATATAATTCGGGAAACACCTAACATCGAATACAAAATAAATTAGAAAATAACTCACAAGTCTTCAAATTCATTTAAATATAAAATGTATATCCATTTATACGTACATATTTTTAAAATAAACGAACATTAAAATTATAGAATAAATTTAAACTCACATGCCATCCGATTGAGATTTTGTCAATGTTATCTCCTTCTCCTCTTTTAACATATAAATGACTTGCGCTTGATTGACCTTTATAAACATTTAGATTCCAAACACTAGTAGTTCCACTTACTCCATAATAAGGAGCACCAATTCTTGAAAGATACACACGAGCAAACTACAATTTCAATGGATTTACATATTATATATATATATATATATATATATATATATATATATATATATATATATATATATATATATATATATATATATATATATATATATATATATATATATATATATATATATATATATATATATATATATATATATATATATATATATATATATATATAAAAGAAAACTTACATGATTAAGAGATTCATTTTGAGTTTGATTATGAATATTGAATAAAGATTTTTTTTGAATTAAATCATTTTTCGTTGTCCTCCGAATAGGAACAGTTTCTTCAGGACACCTAACTTTTTCAAATATGAATTTTGACTTGATTCGTGAATTCTGACCTCTAGTTTCACTAATGTTTCTTTCAAAAATTGATTTTCTCTGCTAACAAAAAAAAGCAATGAAGATTCAAACAATGTTTACAAGCCATAAAAAATAAAATAAAAATAATATGTACTAAATTATTTTACCTGTAATTTGTGATTTTTTAACAAAGGATGATTAAAAGCAGGTTGTTTGTTAATGTCAACACAATCAATTATATATCCTGACTTTGTCTATGAAAGTCACCAAAATGAAATAAAATAAAATTGTCAGAAAGAAATGTCAAATTAAACCAATTGAAACCACCAATAAATTGTGTGAAAAATACATGAATACTCTTTATAGGAGGCTTGTTAAGGATGTTTAATTGCCTCTCCAATTCCAAATCTTCTTTCAATCCACTCTGCATACCATGATCTCTGTGACCAGTAATAATGGTCACCAAACACATAACCAGTAACAATATGTGTATCATTTTTGACATTTTCTTTTAGAGATGAATTAATTATGATAGATCGGAGTTTAGTACATTTCTTATTTATAGACAAATGTTCAAAAACAAAAAAAATGGTATAATAATTTAATCAAAATAAAATTTATGAGGTCAAGGATATGAATTGAATACATTGATTTTTTCTTAATATTTTTTATTTTTTATTATAAATGAATATAAATTTTTTAAATTTATTGAATAATAATGTATCTAGTTTATATATAGATCCGATACACTTTTTATTTAATAAATTTAAAAAAATAAAATTTAATTATAATAAGTAATAAAAGGAGTACTTTTTTGTTTTTTTTAAATGATAATTTTTGAATTAACCTTTCCTAATTTTCTTCATCAAATTAAAAAAGTCATAATATCTCAATTATTTTAATATCACTTACCATCTACATACTTTTTAGCTTTTTTTACAAACACACATTCCATTTCTCAAATATACTACATCTATTTTAAATTATAGGTCATCTGTCCATTTCACACACAAATTAAAAATACATATAATTTTCTTTAAAAAAATTATAATTGTTTTCAAAAAGTATCTTTCAAAAAAAAAATCTGATTTAATCCTTTACAAAATTTATCGGGCCATATTAGTTTTTCTGTCAATATTTTTTTAAACCAATTTTTTCTTAACTTTTAAACCGTAATTGGACTATCAAGATGGATTTTATTTTTCATTTTTCATTTTTTAAATACTAAATTAATTTTTTTATATTTTTTATTTCATTTTTAAACAATTCTGAATTAGTAATATTAAAAATGTCAAAATTATTTCTTATAAGGAATCGAATATCTATTATCTATCTATTATCAATCTATTAAAAGTAAAGTACCTGGAAATTCCAAGTCTAACCTTTTGATTAGATGTTATAACTTTTCTTATTCCAAGGGTATATTTGTAACTTTCTGAAATACTTGCACCATATTGATTTGACAATAAATATGGCTGATGTGTCACACTATAGTTTTTTCTGCCACTTTTTATTTTTTTTAATTATTTCTAACTAACAACAATTATGCCATTTTGTTTATATTTACACGTTATAATCACACCTAATTATGTGCTACATACCACTTCCCAAAACCCTCATCCAAACCAAAGGTCATTCAATTTGAAATTTAAATTAAAACACTCATATTATAGTTGCTACGTACACTGGATTTTGAAATTCTAATTATTCCACTAAACCCTAATCACGTTTTTTGTTGCAAGATTTAAATTGGCAGCACAAGATGAACAACCATCATAAATAAATGTTGAGTTCTTGAAACGGTAAATCTATACAACCAAAGAAATCGTTTTTCCAAAGATGCAACAAATAACTCATTCACCCAACTCTATTAAAACACAAATCAGAAAACCTAATTTCATCTTCTTCCTGCGCCGCTCCATCTCTTTTCATTCTTCTCTCTTTGTTGCTACCAATTTCGTTTCGTTGTAATCTCAACCATCTAATATTCTCATCCTAACCTGTTAATTTATTTGTTTCAGACGTTCAAGCGTAAGAATGGTGGTTGCAACCAAGACCTCTGGATCTCAACAACATCAATAACCAACAACACCCGTTATAGATCTATAAAAGAATTTCCTTCAAATGCAATTTTTAACGTTAATTTGATTCATACATATGTAAGTGACGAAGGTGAGTGATTGAAACATGTGATTGAAAGTTGAAACTGAAATGTAGTTTGGAATATCATATTTTATGTTGTATTCTTTTCGTTTTCAGGATTGTCTTACTATTTCTCCTTTTCCAAAAAAAAAGAAGCTTAACTTGACACCTAAAATGGGATATCTTTATCTTTAGGTTTGAGAGTTGCAGAAGGGGATTTTTGAGCTTGCATGTGACGAATAACACAACCATGATATTGTTTATTTTTTTGCTGTTAGGTATGTTTTTTTTATTCAGATTTTATTTCTCAATTTTTTTAATTTTTTTAATTAAAATATGAGGTTGAGTTTTGGCTTTTTTTATTTGTTTAGTCTTGGTGAATACAAAGCTCACACATATATATTTACGATTGATTCTCCAAATAGATAGAAGCTTATTTCTTTTGCTTCCTCTTTCAATTTATTATTAATCTATTTAAATTTCAATTTCTCCCATCACATCTTTGATAAAAGAAGGCAGTATATTCTCATCAATTTTGTTGTTTATTTTGCTTACTATTATATTTATTTGTATCTAATTGAGATTTTTGTATTTATTTTCTTGATTTAATCGGTTCTTCTTTTGGAATATGTATGGATATGGAGGCTGATAATTGATTTCACACTTGAATCAGTAGGGGACCAATCAACAAATTGAATAACGGATTGTTTCACAGTTTAATTTTTATACATTGATACGTAAAATGAAATTATGCTGATTGCGATTTGATTTTGTGATGTGAAAACAGGTTTAATATAGTCACAATCAGTCTTAATAAGGAATTATCAAACTTTACCTCATGATCGATTCAAGCATTTGTTTTTGAGGTTGAAGATAGAGAGAGGATTAGTGGTTCGGCTTATGGGGGTCAACAGGACATCTGTTGCACCAATGATCTTCCTAAACTCACTGTGTGCAATGATGGACAGGGCTGTCACCGGCCTTCTCCCATGAATTCCTAAACTCACTGTGTGCAATGATGGACAGGGCTGTCACCGGCATTCTCCCATGAATTCAAATTCGCCTGAAGTTTATGGCGTGACTTTTTATCATGCCCAAGAAATAATCAGTTTGTTTTTAGTTTTAATGCTTTATAATATTATTGTTTGCAGAGTTGTCTTAGCATTTTAAGTGCAAATATTCACCATGGTCATGGCTGAGTGACCATTTGCTTCTCTAATTTCACAAACAAAAATATTGCTAAAGAAGAATTGGAGACTGCCACAACAGAACCAGAGACCACTATTTTAAATCTACTTAATCGAGTCGATTTTCATATGTGATTCATCATCAAAGCCAAGTGTTAACTTATGTTTTCATTCAAGTCATTTGATAGTTAACCTTATAATAGTAAATATATGTTCAATATGGTGCAGATGATTTGATTTCCCGAGCATTTGATTTCCATCTCCAGCCATAATTGAAGATTAGGAAATTGAAATCATTGAATTTTATGCTTCCACAAGGAATATCAATGGCTTTCATTGGCAGGTACTGATTATATACTAATTGTATTTTCTGACAGATAGCAAATGCATTGCAATGTTTGGAGGAACTGTTTTTGGAAGAGGAACGAGACTTTGATGAACATGAGGATAGTCAAAGGGATGAGACTCTTATTCACCCGAACTTCTAAAGTAATATGTTTTTAAGGGTTCAAGAGTAGTGGGTGTTGCTGAAGTTCACTACCAATTTCAGAAGAACCATAATAGAAGAATGTTTTTAACAAGATTTGATTCAAATTATGTATATGTATATTATTATTGCTTTCATATTTTGTATGTCATATCAACATTGGTTTTGGCATAATATATTTTTCTACTACAAATTATGTTGGCCTATGTTTTAATGGAATTTACTTTACACCAAATTTTCTTTTGAATGTAGCATTGCCTCTAGCAAACACACTTCTATAAGTTTCGTTCAATTAACATATTTACCATCTTTTTTAAATAGAATTTCTCTTCTCCTAAAGAGAAGATAATAACCTACAAGTTGGTGTTGATGTGCCTTCAAAATTCTAATTTATTTTGAATCGAAATTATAATTCTCATTTTTCGTGAAATTTGAATAAATTTTTTATTTTATATTGGTATTTTTTTATTTTTAATTGCTATAATTTTAGAAACAAATATTACAATTTTTAATAAAATATTTACGATTTATTTTTTTAAAGTACGACTAATTAATATATTTTTATACAATATTAAAAACAAATATTACAATTTTTTAATCAAATATTGGAGTACCATTTAATTCGATACTTTACCAATATATCTTTTGAATGAAGACATTATTATCATTTATTTTTATTATACTTATATGGAAATTATTGGTGACATAAATATATTTAATTTTTATATATGATTTGATTCCATAAAATATTATGATCAATAAAATTTGAATTTCTTTTAATATTATAGGTTTGATACTGTTTCATATTGTAGGAATATTATATACATTAGAATATATAAAGATATGAAAAAAATTAAATCAAAATTTTACAAATATATCTTTTGAATGGAGGTATTAATATTATTTATTTTTATTATATATAGAAAATATTTTGAATGGTCACATTAATACATTTTATTTTTATGCATGATTTGATTTCAAAAATTTATGATCAATAAATTTTGAATTGAATTATAATTTAACCAATAAAATTTTCTACCGACTTCTAAATATATTTGTGTATATTTTTTGAAAGGTTACATTTATATTCTTGAAAAAAATAACGTAGTTTAAAGGATGTATTGTTAACTATAAATATATTGTTAATAAAATTAACAAAAAAAGTATATTATAAATATATAAAAGATAAAGTAAATAAGAACTCTAATGTTTATCTTAAATATTTAATTTATCATTCTATAAATGTAAGAATAAATATTATTTTGTAATTATTTAGATCCTTATTTGACCTAAAATAAATTATTTCAATTTCTATAAAAAGGTTAATAAAACAAAACAAAATCAATTGAGATTTGATAATTTTTTTAAGGTTATGAAATAACTAAAATATATCATAATCTTTTCAAATTAACTTTATAATTGTAATCATGATAAAAAAATATTAAATAGTAATCATGAAAATTTAATGATTTTTTCTGACCATTGCTTTTCTTTTCAATTCAAGATTAATTGGCAGAATGGTTAGAATCTGGAAAGTTACATTTTCTTATTGATACTTGATTGTCCATAATTATAACATTTTTAATTAAATTTTGAAATAACACTTAACATTATTTAACGCTATTATTATTATTATTATTAATTATTATTATTAATAATTAAAATGGTTCACAAAAATAA